AATTAGGTATTTATCCTGCTGTAGATCCATTAGATTCGACATCACGTATATTAGATCCAAATATTGTCGGCGAAGAACATTATTCAATCGCTCGTGGTATTCAAAAAACATTACAAGTTAGTTTACTGTTTATAGTTTGCTAATCATTGCATACACTAGCTAAAACCCAATATTACCTATAGCGCAATTTTGGGTGTAGAGGGTATGCTAAAGAAAACCAGGCTAGAATTTGATAGAAGAAGGAACACACCATGGTTGTTTCGTCAATATTCATATTTTTTCCTACACAAGTTTTAGTCTTTATGTTGGTACTGGGTAACATTTTCTTTTTGTAGGATTATAAGTCATTGCAAGATATTATTGCTATATTGGGTATGGATGAATTATCTGATGATGATAAACTGACTGTATCTCGTGCAAGAAAAATTCAACGTTTCTTATCTCAACCGTTTCAAGTAAGTAATTGAAAGTTTTGTGCTTTTTGATGTTTTCGCACTTTCGTGTAACGTTATATGCTTTTAATGCGTAAAAAATGTATAGGGAAAAGTGCAAAAGAAAACTAACAGTACTAATAGACGTAATCACTATTGTTGTGTGACTGCGTCAGCATACCATGTTAACAAATAAACAATTTTTGTTTTCGTGTGGTGAAACGTTGCTATTTATATCTGCTAGGTTGCTGAAGTATTTACCGGAACACCAGGCAAACTTGTCCCACTCAAAGAAACAATAAAAGGATTTAAAATGCTTTTGAACGGTGAGTTTTTGTGTTTGATAGAACATACTTATGATGAACTGATCTATCTTGTTTAGGAGAAATGGATCATTTACCAGAAGGAGCATTTTACATGGTCGGTGGTATCGAAGATGTGTCAGCTCGGGCAGAAAAACTCGCTTCGGAACGATAAAAATATAACAGTGTTTGTTTTTATTATTTTTTTCATAGGCTCTTTCAGCTCTCTCTCTCTCTCTCTCTCTTTCTATTTGTACCTTTCTCTACATTACATACTTATTATTAGAAAAAGAATCACGCTTGCATATTTGTCTGTTTCCCGTTTTTTTTTTCTTATGAAAACTTAGTAAAATTAATCTAGTGAGAAGGACGAACATCTAATTTATTAAGATAGAGGAGATAAAAATGAAAGCGAACAGTTTACTGCCGTTCTCAGTTTATGCGTTCGAGTCCGTATTCATACAAAATTGATTTTGTGTTTTTTGATAGTTTAACTTTTAAAATATTCTAATGGTTTATTTCGCTTGTATTCTGGAAAGAATAAAACTTAAATTGAAGCGAAAACGAGCAATTTATTAAAAGTGTATCTGAATGCAAAATCTTTTATCTATTAACGTCTTACAATGTTTCATTCTCATATTTATTTCGAATAATGTGCTCGTATTTCTTAAAATTTTTCAAAACATGTTGTGGAGCAAAATCTGGATCTAACATGTTTAAGTTTACAGCACCAAGTGATTTCCCATCAAACCATAAACCATTTTTAATATTGTTTTTTATGTAAGTGATACTACGTTTCTCTGGATAGTCACCCCAACGTGGGAAATCGCCATTTTGAGCCGATATTAATTTTATGGCTACATTTTTGGGTGTGAAACACCATGAACAGTGCCATCCCGCTCGAGGAAAATAAAACACTTTATTCGGTATATCGAAAAGTGTCACATATCCTTCAACTTGTATTTTTCGTCTTGACATTTGCCAATCACGCAGGGCGTGTGTATCGAAATCAAAGGCATATTTTAACATTTTTATTGTACAACCATTCACAGTTCTGGTAGGCTTAGGAAGACGCCAAAAATATCCGTAAATTGACCAATAAAAGTCCATACCAAATGGTTCTGACGGTAGATTTTGTGATTTTAATTTTAATATAGTTTCACGCGAAATAATTTCATCGATATCTGTAACTAATATAATATCATGCGGTGAGAGTGTATTGATGATACTTTTGACGCCTAATGTTCCCAAGGATGCTCGTATATGTCTATCGGCAATCCATCCGTCCTTTCTTCCATCTTCCGGAAAGTGATCTAAAAAGACGTAAACAATTTTTTCACGAAATTCCTTTAAATAACTCGAATCATTTTGTAATCTTTTATGTAGACGTCTTGGTTTTGGATCTCCATAGGCCGAATAGTTTGATTCTAGAATGATAAATTTGTCAACAATGTCACTGCTGTCATGAACGATTGTTTCTAATGCATCAAATTCAATATTAAATGGGAAAGCATAAATTATTTTGCGTTGTAAATTTGAATGTAAGTCTGATGTCTGAAGATCAAAACCAGGACTGATTGTAAATAAATGACACCGCTTGCCGTACCATCGATTTTTTTTACACAGACAGATGGTAGTCGATGAATTATTTACCAGTGATTCATTTTCTTCAAAACATTCATGATGATTTTTCAATTGAAGAAATGGCTTACCGAATGTAAAATAGAAATATGCGTAATAAAATGAAAATGATAGACATAAAACAACGGCACATATACACTGGAAAGAATGCATCATTTATCCATTGGTTGTATTTTCACATAATTATATGTAACTGCGTAATAGGGAACTATAACTACAAAGAACTTCAAAGTTTAGTTGTGAACAGCGTGTTACATCGTTTGATAAATGAATCGAAAAACCGAATGAAGTACGTTCGTTATTGTCACGCACTAAAATATTATAGCATCATCCGATTAGTCATGCGGAGCTATTACTTACCTGTCGTAGTACACCACGCACTTCGTACTTTTGATACGTAGTATATGACGTATCTCAAGTATACGGTCTATTTTCCGGTGGTTGGTGTCTGTTTTAATTAGTTTTTTAAAAGGAAAAAAGAAAAAGATAATTTTCACTCTATGTATGTAAGAGTTTACTTTCCACGTATTTTTTTGACGAAGAGAAATAAATAAAATCTATACATTTCCAGGTGAAGATATAAGTATCCATCTATCTGTGAACATCACTGCTACTATATTCTTCTTCATTTTACCGTCATCACTATCTGTTGTATCAAAATCATTGTTTTTCTTTGTACGAACGAAGAAAATAGAATTAAACATCAAGTTTACTGCTACTTACGAGGGAAGACCCTCGACTGTCAAATCGTTTTTGACGTAGAACTTAGTGGACAATGGGTAATCGAGCATGCTGATTCCGAATATGACGATGGTTTTGGCAAATGCGTCTTTGGAGACCCCGGAAAAAAACAAGAAAAAAGTATTTGCATTTAGGTAAAATATGATCAAGACAAGCCGGTACCGACACGAAGTTTGTATACCGGTGACCGGTACCACATTTTTGATACCGGTTACACCCCTGGCTCTGATCTAAAAATAATTTGAGTACAGCGAAAGTGCCCTCCAATTGAGAAGTACCACAAAGGTGCATTTTTTCGCTTTTTCCACACCGTCTGTACTAAAAGATTTTTTTCAGACCACGAGAAAGAGCACATTCAGAAGTACAAAAGGAACTGACTTCTCACTTTTACAACCCTTTTTTTACGGAAACAATAGCAAAAGAATAAGGTTCAAGTTCAAAAAAAATAACAGATTTTCAAAGTTTTCATTTTTTTGTCGTCTTTCGTATAATCTGCGTAGTTTTCTTAATTGACGCTCTAAAATTGAAGTTTACGTATGGTTTTATAGAGCATTTCACGGCGCATCTTAAAAAAAATATTAACCTTTGGGTCTTAAAGAAATACGAGAAAAATAGAAAATATGAGAGCCCACACCCGTTACAATTTCTGGGAATCTGACGATGAGGGGACCGTCATTGCACTAAATTTATTTTTCGGCAAATAAATGTAAGACAAAACATAAATATACAGGGTAATAGATAACTCCGAGCGCTTTCAGAATATATAATTATTTTTTTTAAATTGTATTTTTGTAGTGATGATATATTAAAAAAATCGAGTACAACTATTTTTTTCCAGGCGGATATGATAATGAATGCTGAACTCGTAACATTGCTGATAAATATGACTGTTTGTATAATGATATTCTAATATTTTTATTGTGACTTATTATGTTTCTTCCATTTTTAATAAAATCAAAGTGGTTGATCAAAGATGATGGAATCCATTTCTTCTTTGGTTTAAAAATTCAATAAAAGGTGAATTGGCGGTCGCGTTAGCCGCGGCACAATATTCAACTCGATAACCAGATCTCGAAAAATCCATGTGCACAACCAGCGATCTTCATCTGTAAAAAGTTAATAAGTAATAATAAGAGAGAGAGGGAAAAAATTGAAAACATGGCGTAGCCTAAACTAGAATGTAGAAAAAAATTTAAAGACAAAATGTAAAAATTCTTTTGTATGCATCTATTTCTTGTACAGTAAATAGTCCTTTTGAACGATGGTGTCTCATCGTAAGAAAAACGATTGGTAAAAAGAAATATTATACGAAAAATAAAATTAAACAAGTTTTTAGCTACTTAAAGTATAGGCAAATGATTTTCACAAGACGACTTTTTTTTGTAGAATTTTAATTGAAGTTCCAAACTCATTGGGACATTAGATATATCTTGATTAAATCCCCAGCCCCCGTCTGCAAAGTTGATTTTTTTGCCAATAATATTGACTTTGAGCTCGAATTGAAACGATTAATTTTTGATTGAATAGATCAGAGCCAGGGGTGTAACCGATATCAAAAATGCGATACCGGTACCGGTCACCAGTATACAAACTTCGTGCCGGTACCGGCTTGTCTTGATCATATTTTACCTAAATGCAAATACTTTTTTCTTGTTTTTCTTTACTGTGAACTTTATTTTGTTATCAAAGGGATCCATTAATCTTTTCACTTTGATTATGTATAGTTGATTTTTCACACGCTTTTTTTTAACGAAAAACAGCAATCCAATTCAATCTTTTAACTGAATCATTTTGATTTTTGTGGATACGATGAATACACTTAATAACGAAGATGAGAACAATAGACACCGCTTTAAGCATTTTGAGACGTTTCGTACTTTATTTTAAATACATCATCAGTCAAATGACGTTACAATTAAAAGAGGACAGTTAAATATATACCAACGACAACAATAGAATACCAACGAAAAAATTCCATTATGGTATTCTAAACTACACTAATTAAAAAACATAATTTTTGATAAAGTTGGATAATGTTTTGACGCCTTCATGTTGTCATATGTTTCAATACATCGAAGTAATATCAGCGGTTAGTAATGTGGGATTTCCCCGCGGTATGATACGACTTAGTCTTAATAAACACGACCTAGTCTTAATAAAATTCTATTTAGTTCAAATATTTTTACAAATTCTCGGCATATGGAATCAATTTGGAATGACTATGGAATATTTGGCCATAACAGAATTAGAGTCTGACAGTGGCAAATTTGAGAAAGAATTATAAAATGAGGAGAAAAAGGAGGTTTAATGGATCCCAGAAACAAAAGTGATACAGAAACTCCGCTTGAAGCAACATATGTCAATGGTATCAGCGTTGATATGCCAAAATATAATTTTAAAAGAAATTTTGATAAAAAGCTTAAGAATTCAGAGAGAGAGAAGGTCAATCTGAAAGCAGAATAACGTCATTATTTGCAAGATCCAAGAGAAATAGCAGCTCGAATGGACCGCAGAGGAGCAAAAATAAGTCAAAAGCTAGAAAACCTTATGTATAAAATGTCAAAAGCAGAAATACTAATTTAATACAACAAAGAACAATCGTTCTAAAACTATAGCTTAATTACAGTGATGATACAACAGTTTAATCGAATGAAATGAAAATATGATTATCAACTATGGAGTGGATAATGTTGTTTTATTCTACACGCTCTCTCTATTTCACATGTTTCGTCCATCTACTATTGAATGTGAGTGTATGTTTTTACTATGTATGTGTAATAATCAACTTTTCTT